CATGCCTTTTCGGAGTGCCCGACAGAAACAAAGGAAATCCTGTCCCTGCAATACTTTATCGACGGCATCCGGGATCCTGAAATACAGAAAGCTTTACGAATGGCGGATGTGAAAGACATAAAAAGTGCTCTTTTGTACGCCGTGAAGTTCGAGGCAGCCCAGCAAGCAACTCGTAGAGATCGCTACCCAGTCAGAGCTGTGCGAATCCACGAGCCAGTGGATCAGTTGATGGCTCGTTTGTATGATTTAGCCAGAGAAGTCAACGCTTTGGATACAGAGTAGCAAAGCGTCGACTTGTCTCTAAGGTGTGGCACTAAGTTGTTGGGGATGTGGTTCTGAAGGTTCACCTACGATGTCAGAATTGCAGAAAACCCCGGGGTACGGAAAATGAAACACATGATTTTACCAGACAAGTCAGTGGCTTGAGACGGAACAGAAGTGAAAAGAAACCTAGTTCTTAAGTGCTGGAACTGCGCTGTATTGAAGGCCACGTGCGAAGGAAACTGCAGAACCACCTCAAAGTACGGAAAATATGACAAACAGAGTTGAACAGACAATTAAATGCCATCAGATAAAAAAGCAGTGACAAGAAGCGAAAGTGCTGGAACTGTGGAGCTGAAGGCCACGTGTGAAGGAACTGCAGAACACCCCGGAGCACGAAAATTGAGACCATTTCCCAGTAACGACGGAGGAAACAAATTAATGACCATATCGAGGAACGGAGGTTGCCAGAGAATGAAAAACCTTGTTTCAAAGAGCTCAAGATTTCTACAGTGAGTGGCAACCGTAACGGACTGTCCATCAATGGGCACATCGATGGAGTTCCCTGCAATATGATCATTGACACAGGAGCTAATGTTACCATCGTTTGGAGAGATTTAGCTCAACAGTTTAAAGATAAACTTATTTGGACGCCATCCTGTGTTACCCTTCAGACTGCGTCTAGTGATAAGATCGACATAGCTGGGAAGTTAAACGGGAACATCACGTTTGGAAGTGCCTCCTACCATCACAAGGCATATGTGGCGGATATTACAAATCCATGCATACTCGAACTGGACTTTTTAAGGAAATAAAATTTTTCCTTAGACTTAAAAAACAACAAACTGCTTTCAGCATCTGTGGACATGAATATCCATCGTCAGAAGGGATCCTCACCTAGAAATGCCGACACCTTGTCTGAAAGACCCAGCTCAGAAAGCTGCCAAAATCATACTAGGGTCAGAGAGAAACTCCAGACTACCGGCTATTCTCCATCCCAGATGCTCTTCGGTCAAGACCTTCGTCAGCCTTGTGACCACCTGTTTGGTCACCCTACAGATGCGCCTTCATCGCCTGAGGAATACGTCCAAGATGTCCAGGCCCGGTTTGAAGTGATGCACCATTCCGCATGAAAACGAGTCAACTTGGCGACGGAGAAGGTGAAGACCAGATAGGACACAAAAACTATTGGACATCAATTCCAGGAAGGAGATAAGGTGTGGCTGTGGAATCCGACTCGACGGAAGGGACTCTGTCCGAAATTACAGTCACCCCAGGGATGGTCCGTACACAGCCCAAACAGGCTGAATGACGTGGTTCAGATCCGTAAGTCTTTGAATTCTAAACCTAAAGTCATTCATTACGACAGGTTAGCCCCTTACAATGGCCATAATACCTAGTGTATTATAATTATAAATAGTATAAGACCATGGTCCTTTTTGTTTCTAAATGTGTATTTGATTTGACAAGTATTTAGTATTTGATTTGTATTTGATTTGTTTTAGTTATTGCATTTATGCCATAGTTGTAAGTTTGGCTTCCGGCCCAGGGATTGTAATGCCCGGGATGTGCAGTCTTTGGGAAGGGGGCAGTGTTACGGATTTGGTATTTAAATAGCTAATGTTAGTCGAATTATAAATTAAATTGTTTTATTCCCCGTTCAGTATAGCACGTGATGAATATTAAAGGAAAGCTAAGTCGGAAAATTAAAAATACAAGAGCACATGCATTTAACATTTAATAAATAAATAAATATCTCTTTTTGATTTCGACAAAGTTCCAAAAAATTCTCTCGCGCGATTTAAAATCTTATAAAAGGAAGAAAACCACTCAGTTCGTTGTTATTGTAGTTAGTTAGTTTGTTGTTGTTTCAAGAGTTTGTTTAGAAAACTGTTCTTGTTGACTGTAGTGAATTCGCGGATTAGGTTTCTATAGCTGTTTTGAATTAAGTTCTCTTGAACGTTTGAGTAGTTAAAAGATAACTACTCTGAGATATTGTAATATTGCAGGAATATCTGAGGACATTTAAGCATTTTTGTTGTGATAATAATAAATTTTGTTCATTTTTCATCGGACTTGTGCATTCATTTCATAACGAACCCGTACGCACGCAACAATATATATAAAGTATGTGTTACACCAATGTGATTACTCAGTAATATTTAATAATTCATTAATTGCATTGACTGTAACAATATATGGTTTTTTTTCTTTTTTTTTTTTTAAATGGCCAGTCATATTGTATTGTATATAGAGGCATGTATTTACCTCTTTGTCTGAGGTGGGAATGTAAGCACAGCTCTGGTTGATACACACAAATAAAAAAAGTTGCATCGTAGATTATAGAACAAAACCTTTTTGGCTTATATGATCTGTTCCAAATAAATATGGCATTATCGTTTCCTTACATTCACTGTAGCAATGTTTGTTCTGTTAAGCACAGTAACATGCCTTTTTATATCATTAAAACCAGAGTTTTTTAAAATGTGGGTCGTAACCACCATAGGGGTTGCAGAACCTACAGCAGGGGGTCGCCAAAAATTTTAGCAGTTTTGATATTTCTTCAACTTATTATAATAATTTTACAATTACCAAATATTTTTACACCATGTATCTGAAAATAGATAAAGTTAAGACAATACAGACACAGAAAAGAAACAAAAACATTTCGACGCATTCTCTTTGTAATATAAACATTTATTTTACTTGCTTTGCACATGATGCTGCCATTTCGTCTGTTACTTATTTAAAATTTTTACACTGTTCTATGTCTTAAAAATTACTGCAATAGTATATTACAGTATGAATGTAAAAATTGACAGTTTCAGTCATGCGTGTGTAAGATTTGTGCAATGTTTATGGGGCCCGCAAAATTTCATAAATATTATGGGGTCCTGGTGTTGTGAAAATAATCTCGGTGATAAAAAGGGGTCGTGACTGAAAAAAGTTTAAGAATCCCTGATTTAAACTAATGAACAAAAAACATAATCACTTCCATTTCACTTGCATTGCATGCTGTCGAATGATTCCAAAATGGGAAAAAATTATTCTAATTCTAGGCAAACATTCTTAAAATTTAAATTCAGAACAAAATTTTATAAAATTTTAGTAAATAGAACTGACTGTTTCTTAGCCAAGGCATAAAGGGAAAATAAATGTATGCACATTTCCAATAGAGAAAAAGAAAGAAATAAGCTTTTCTTAAAAGACATGGATTATCTGTTTGTGTTGTGCGTCATAAAATAATAAAAACTGCAGAATTTCATCCATGTGACTCACTTATTAACATTCTTCACCAATTAAGTATAAAGCCCTTATGTCGGACCTTCCATGGTGTGGGAGAGGGGTAGCAATGCATGAGTTGGCTGTCCTGCTTATGCTGCTAATCGGCCTTCCCCTTACCCAAGCTGGTCACTTGCTCTGTCCATACACTAGGAATCGACAGTATGGTGGAGATTAGCTGCCTTCAAAAGATCAGAACTGCTGTTCTGTTCAGTGGTCCAGGACGCACTGGGGAAACGATGTAGCACCTGGGTGCCTGGGTTAAAGATCCTACCCCTTGTAGAACAGATATGTTATTTTGAATACTGTCATGAGTAACTGGTATATATTCACAGATTTTTTAAAAAATTATATCAGTTTTTTAGCATTTTTTAAAGTTATAAGTAATTTGTGATATAAGATAAAAGATAAATTTCTAAAAAGACTAAAGTGTGCTTGAAGTTTCATGAGACCTGAAGTGTTATCTGGGAAAGCCGAGAAAGGAGGAAGAGCTAGTTGTAGCCTAATACAAGAAAAACATACATATAAGTAATAGGCTAAGTAGTGTGAGTCTGGTGCATTATTAAATAATTATTAAATAAGTTATACAATATGGGTACTAATTATTGCCGTAGGCCGTTTACTACTATTTGGGTCATTAAAGTTGTAATCGTAAATCCTTATAACTGGGTTGTTGATATTAAACAAGATTGACATAAAAGTTCCAAGCGAGCCAGCAGTAAAAATACTTAAGTTGTTCTATACGCAATTCTTCATGTAACTTTTGATTTCGGGCGTACCAGGGCAAATTGGTAATCTGTCTTAGGACGCAATTTTGTGCCTGTTACAATTTGTTTTCTGTAAGATTTGCATGAATATGCCCAGACCGGGCAGGCATAGCATAGTATGAGACACAATGCGGTTTTATAAATAAGGAACTTGTTGTCTAATGAAAGTACACTGTTTCAAGAAATTAAAGGGTGAAGGGCGACTTTACTAACTCGAAACATACTAAGGATAGATGTTATCTGCGGGTACCATTATAGAGTTTTACTGAGGATCACCCCAAGCGGTGGTCTATGCTGGCTCAACAGGGACTGTAAGGGTATATTTTAGTCTGCCTCGGCTGGTTTGCTATATGCTTTTTAGATGAAGTCTGGTCTGAGATTTCACTCTGGTGTAATGCCCTTAATGTATTAATTTTGCTGTTGAGGCTTAAGTAAAGTAAATTTTAAAAATGGGAAGAATATGTTACTTAAGTAAAAATTAATAATTTGATAAGTTCTTTAATTTTGGGCTATAATCTTACATTTTTTAATTGTAGTTAAGATTATGCTTGCCTCTGTGTGTTTATTATTACCATTACTATTTTCTCAATTTTTTTTTTAATATTATGTCTAAGAGTTCTTAGTGATTAAATAAATATAATTCTTTCCTGATGAAATACAATGAGATTTTTAAAATTTTTATTTGTCTAGCTGCACACATGGCTACAGAAGCTATAAATAATAATGATTCTTTGCTTTTAAACTACGATTTGGAAATACTGGAGCAAGATGGTCACTGTGCTGCTGATGAAGTTATGAAAAGTTACATTAGTTATGTAACAAATACAACTTACAAATCTATGGTTGGAATTTTAGGTAACTTTTAAGTTATTCCTTATTATTTACTTTTCTAATGTTTTCTAGTCATTGATGCCATGGTGTTTTAAATTTGATAGGGCCTGCATGCTCAGATACTGTGGAACCTATTGCAGGGGTTGCTAAAAATTTCAAGACGGTTATAATCAGTTACAGTGCTGAAGGAGCCTTACTGAGGGATAGAGAAAAATATTCTTATTTCTTTCGTACAATTCCTGAAAACAACCAGTTCAGGTAAGATTTCTATGTGAGTAATTGCTTTGTATAAATATCTTGTGCTTATAAGGATACTTTTCCCCTCTATTACATTCAAGAAATATTTCATACTGCATTTTAGCAAATATTTTTTTTTTTTTTTTTTTTTTTTTTTTTTATCGTAGAGATTATACTATCCTGAAAAGTTTAAGGAATATTTTAATTGTAAATTTAATTCAAGAAAACAGGGAGCAACTAATCATCATAACATCTTGAACTAGGTATTAAACATTTTGAACTAGCTAGAATTCTTTAAAATATGCAAATATCTTTTTCTGAAATTCACCAAGAAAATTTTATAAAAACCTTATGAAAAACTTCATATTAATTACTCATAGTTTAATGCTTCAAACTCATCGGGGGGTAATTATTTAAAACATTAAACATGAACACTTAAGAAATACTGAATACAAGTTTCAATTGTCTTGACTATTTGATTGCAAAAACAAAAAATAAATATAATCACAAAGTCCTTACAGAAATATCTCTTCCCATCTCAAAGAGTCAAAATTATACCTCAGCATGAATTGTCTTCCAAAAAGCTTTAGAAAATACATAATTAATGTAAAAATAATACAAAGCATACATTGCTGTTAAAAATAAAGTGAGAAAACTATATTCAAGGTAGCACCTTTTATACAATAAAAACAAAAGTACAATAGTCAAATTATGCTAAAAGACCGATTTCAAATTTTCTAATTTTAAGTAATAATCAGTGTTGCCACACTACCTGAAAAACCAGAAAAAGTCAAACAGCTTTTGTCCATGTCCCCCCAGTTAGCCTTTAAGTTGGGAATTTTGTAAGATTTTTATCCTCCTTTACTGCATGCATTAAAGATAATTTTAGAAATCTGTGTACTATATGTAAACTGTAAAGAAACTGATATGAATGATATATTTAGGTGCATGGGATTTGTTTTGACTAAAGCTAAAGAACAGTGGTAGTTTCTCATGGCTCAGGTTCTACTTAATAAATAACTTAACTACATGAGATTTTTGCAGATTTCTTTACAGGTTATGAAAAGGGGGAAAGGTTATTTAAAATGTCATCTGTAAAGGCATCTCATTTCCTCAAGGAAATATTTGTTTGCTTTGCTACAGTTAAGTAATCAACTAGACATGAAAGTGACTTTTAAACTCTATAGTTGCATGTGATATAAATGGCTATTTAATTTCATGTGCGAAATAATTAAGAAACATGAAAGAAAACAGCAAATTAGCAACACTTATTTTTAAAATTAGTTTCTTAGCAGTTACATTTCAAATGAATGTGATGTAATTGAAAATAATTATTGGAACCTTTTCAAATAATTCCAATGTGGTGTGAAATATATACAGTTTTTATGATGTGTGTAATCAGTTATTCAGAATAAATATTTGTATTCGTGCTAGCTGTTTTCTCAAGTAGCTATTCAGCACAAATTGAAATGTCCCAAATGATTTTTTATAGTAGGGATGTTGAGTAGATCTTCTTCAAATATTTACAAATCTATGTGTGAAGACGAATATTTTTTGAATATTTGCTTATATAAATTCCATTTAATGCAATCTTAGAATCATCTTTGATATATTTTGTATCTCTCAGCTTATGTAGTCTTATAAAAAGTTGAATAGTTGATATACGAGGGCTGTAAATAAAGTAATGGCAACATAGGTATAAATCAATTTTTAAAAAATTTACAAGTACAATTGCATTACATTCCTTCTATATAATCACCAAGCAAAGGTTGGTTGGTTCACCTTTTCGCTTAGTGTCGGGAAGCCGTTGTAGACCAGTGGCAAGGTGTTGATTGTTGATCTGGAGCGACCGAGCGCCCTACTGTGTGGAGTACAGATGAAACGTCATAAAATCGGTGACCTCGGAGGGGTTCCTTCAACTTCGAAAACAGATCGAAGTCACAAGGACTCATATCGGGTGAGTAGGGAGGATGCTCCAGGATTTCCCATTGCCACCATCGCAAAAGGAAAGTGACATTGTTTGGGACATGGCAATGAGCATTGTCGTGCAATACATTAGGGAGATTTTTGTGCAGTAAATGTGGACGTTTGTGCCGCATAGCCAGACACAGATGGTGCTGTAGAAATTGGCAATAGTAATCTGCGTTGACAGTTTGCCCTTCAGGTACAGCATGTGTAAGAATCGCACCGTCCCAGTCATATGCCATAATCAGCATAACTTTCACCCGAATGGGTTCCTGTCGAAATTTCTGTGGATGTGGCGAACCTTGGTGATGCCATTCATTTGACTGACGCTTTAATTCAGGCTCATGGACTCGTGCCCATGTCTCATCAATGACGGCAATACGCTGCAGAAATGAGTCTCCTTTATTGCGGTATCTCTCCAAGTGGGTGCCCCAGCTAGTGCATACCGCTGCCATTTCTGTACTTCGGTTAGTCGATGTGGAACCCAGCAAGAAACAATTTTCCTCATGTTAAGAGATTTCTTCATTAAGTGCCACACCATTTGATGACTCAGACCATCCTCTAAGGATAATTCTCGGACAGTCCATCAGCAGTCTATGGTAAGGAGACCGCTCAGGATTTCAATCTGCTCTTGAGGAATGGAGGGCCAGCCTGTACGTTGCAAATGAGCAGTCTCATTCCGACCCAAACAAAATGCTTGAACTCATCGTGCTATTGTCCTATACGGTAAAGCATTTGTGTCACAGGCTTCCACTAATCCTCAATAGCATTCTGTTGCATTTTTGCCAAGGGCAACCTTTTGAAAACATGCTTTAGAGCGATGGAAAGGAAACTCCTCACTTTAACGCCACACAACAACTACCCTTCTAAACAGATCGACAACAGCGCCATCTCACCGCTCCCATATCCTATTTGCGCATGTCCGCCTTCTGCGAGTTTCAAGGTTAAGTTGCCACTATTTAATTTACAACCCCCCATATTTTAATTACATTTTATACTATTATTGAAGTAAATATAATAAACTGTATGTACTGTACTTTATTATAAAACCAAAATTAAGTACTTCAAAAGCAAGGACTTTTTATTCCTAAATATGTTGGTAGTAAAGTTCTCAAAATCGGAATGGCATTAATTTATTTCAAATGAAATTTTAGATATCTGCATCAAATGTTGGCATTGGCTGTACTATAACTCTTTATTGTTAAGCATCCAGTCCATTATTTTTTTTTTTTTTCTGTTACTTTCAAAGGAGATTTTGCTATTTTAAAGATTTTTCTGCAGACTAGTTTTTGAGCAGAGTGGAATGAATGTCTTTTTTGTTTGTTTCACCATTTATTGATAGCTTGGATCTTCCTATGAAACTGCCTTTAATGAAACTAATTTCTTATTCTAGATTGCACTGGGTTGAATTATTTAATTTAGGTAAGCCCAAGAAGACTGTATGCTTAAGCTGCATCCCAGTTTTGGCTTGGGGCCTTAGAGGATCTTTCCCTACCACTAGCGAGTTAAGAGAACTTTGGGCTTGACAGATTTAATGTGTTTGCATGCTGTAACGATGCTGCAGTCACAAACATACTTGCTTAATTTGAACATACACATGATAACATTAGAACCTGTCAGCCTGCACCACTAACCAATATACTGTCTGGAGTAAATTCTTATGGTAACCAGTACTGTTAGTTTGAAATCCTGGCTTGCATTGGATCACATGTAAGCAAGCAAACTATGGTGAAATTATAGACTACCGTTGCACATCAATTCCTATTTTTCTGTAAACCAAATTTGTGTGTGAGTGAATATTAAAATGTGTTACAGTAAAAAAAATTTTTGTTACTACATTCTTAATTGTGTGTGTTTATCTAATCTGCAGTATTTTTATTGTATTTACATTTTAAAATTAAAACGAGTTTAAATATGGGTGATGTTTTACTGCAGTTTTATTTGCTTTAGATATGTTTATTTGATGCTGTTTCAAAAGTTAGAATATACAAGAGTTGCTGCACTTACAGAACAGGGTCAAAGGTATCCTGAATATATAACACATCTAGAAGATTTAATGCCCAAACGTGGAATGACTTTTATAATGAACCGCAAATTTCTAAGAGACAGAGAAACTTTAAACATGAGACCACATTTAGAAGCCTTAAAATCAAGTGGAGCAAAAATAATAATAGGAGATTTTTATGATTATGCTGCTAGGGCTGTTATGTGTGAAGCATATCAACTAGTAAGTATTTACTTTTAATATATATTCAAAATAGTATTGTATAAAATTATAATAATGAGAAAAATTTTAATATTATATTTTTTTATATAATATCAAAATATTATATGATATTTCTATGATATTCTGAAAAATGCGGTATTTTAAAATTGATAATTGTTTTAACTGGAATCTTAACTTCTTTATTTTTTAAAGTCAGTTTCTCTCTTTGGTATATTTTAGTCATCAGCAGTTCCAATGTTAGTTTCATTAAAATCTAATCTGTGGGTTACATCATAATTGTTTGAATATCTCACCTTTGTAGAATTTACTTCATAAAATGGCTGAAGACTCTTTGGTTGCTATGGGTACACAAGCACTAGTCTAAAAGAATGACTAACTTAGTTTCAATGAAAATTATCAAGGAAATTGTAACACGTGTAAATGAAAAGATGAATATATAATGGAAATTTGTTACACTGAAGAAAAGTTCTATCATCTTTACATCATTAAGCAACTTCTTACTCATGCATCATCATTTCATGCTGACATAGTCTGTTTTTTTCTCACTTTTTAGCTTTGTTCAATAACAGCACCAACTGTCTGTCACGAAAAATGAAATCCCACACATGCTCGCCCATCCTGATAGTATGTGTCCTCACAGACTGGAAGAGAAATCATCATCATCAGGGAATCTGAAAAATCATTAAAAAAAAAAAAAAGATAAATTTAGGTTGCACTGAAGAATGTACTGGTAATATGTGTAATACAAAGATGTGTATTTTCTACTTTCCTCATCTACTTGAGCATAAGGAAAACCATTTTTCAAGTCTAGAGTAGTATATACCATTGCCGATTCTAATTTATCAATGATGTCATCAATTAATGGCAGTGGAAAGAGATCGTAAATTATTTTTTTAGTGTCTATAGTCTATACATAACTGATTTTCTTTCTGTGTAATACAACATTACTTGGCTGATTGGAACAGATTGGTTTCATAATTTGTTTATCTAACCACTCAGAAATCTGTTTATGAATTGCATGCTGCTCTGTTGGGGGGGCAGTGCACAATGAACCCAAGGTCCACCAACACTAACCTCATCTTCAAAACAGATGTTCCTGTCTTATTCAGCTTAGAATTTGTTTCTAATTGCAGCATTTCATCTCAATGTAAACCATCTTTTAACGTAGCTTAGATCGATTTCCTGATCTTTATAAAGATCAAGAATGCATATAAAATAGTTCTCTGGCTGCTGTTTTTTTAATTTCAACTCCCTTTTCATTTATATTTAATTGTCCTTGTCTTATTATATCCATGCCAATGATAGCTTGTAAAAAGACTTTGTTTTCTCAAATAACAAATGTTCAATTTAAATTTTAAATTCACTTTCAAATCTCTCTACATTACTTAATCCTGTTGTAAATTTTCTGGTTTAAGTTCACATATTTTCTTATGTACACTGCTAAAAAAAATGGGACAGTGCTATATCTCCCGTTCTACTGGGCCGATTGACAAAATTCCAATTGTGTTCTTAATATCTCGAAAGCGCGGCTTAGGATATATATTAGATTTATATATAGCATTATTCTAACATAGGTATTTTGACACAAAAATTGGACTTTTTCTGAAATAACATACCAATTTTCTTACATATTTCGATTCTACAACTCAAATTACGCCTAAATATGAAATCTTGTAAAATTTAGAGTGAAATTTACGGAGAAATCCACAAAAATATGTTGGCACTTTTTTTCTAGTTTGCGCCAAGAATAGTTCACTTGGCGAACTTCTTAATATATGGCAACCTAGTTTCCTTTTCCGTAAGAGGGGGAAATGTCACCATCGTTCCTTTTTTCCAAATAATACTCTGTATATATATTTTTAATTATAACTTATTATTTTAAGTAATTTTTTTTTTTCGAATTTCATTTTAATTGTTTAAGTTGCATGGTTTTTTTCGAATAACTGTTTTTAAAAAATTTCTACTTACCTATTCGAACTGCGTAAATAAAGGTGCAGCGTTTCATTTTTTTTTTCAAATAGTTTTCTTTATATATATATTTTGTCATAGTTATTATTTTAGGTAATTTTTAAATTTTTATTACTTTTATTTCAATTGTTTGTGTTGCATTGTCTCTTCAGATAACTGTTTTAAAATTTTCTATTTATTCCTTCGAACTGAGCTTTTTAAATATATTTATTAATATAAATTTTCCAGAATTTGATTTTATTTATTTGACTTGCATTTCTTTCGGAAGAATACTTCGTAACCCAGACTGCGATGCATTTGAAAACTGCATATATTAAAAGAGAAAATACAGTAAAGCACAGTTAACACACCTTTCAATGTTCCGTTCAGAAAGGATATATATAAATAAGAGAGATGTATAACCGACATTTTAACTTAGGATGACTTGCATACACTGCTTTAAACAGTTTTATCATTGTGCCCATTGCCTTACACAATTTTATCCTACATTTGGTTTCTTAAAATGTTATTCATATTTTAGTCAAATATTTTATTTTTGAAATCGCAAGAATCAAATGTCATAAGATTAAAAGGTTTTAAATTAAAAAAATTCTAATACTAAATTTTACGCAAAAATTTATTTTTTCTTCTCTTTTTCTTTAGGCATTCTGCAAGTATATTAAAAAGTATCCAACTTTTCGAAATATCTTGGTATTTCTGACAATCATTTTAAATAAAGTTATCGCCTTCCATTTCATAAAGGCCCACAAACGGCCGAGCGGTAAAGTCGCTGAACACTAGTAGTTCACTCCGGGGTTCAAATCCCGGTAAATGGGCTGGTTGCATGGGCATTTTCGTGAATTTTCTCATGCGTACCGTGTATGACAGCTGATTTCCCTTAGAAAGTTCTTCACGAAGGCATCCCTCCTTTTAGGGCAGTAGCCTTGCTTTGCCGTAACATAATAATCCAATTCAATCCATTTTATCAGTATTTGGTAAGAGCCTTTATTCAGTCTTTAGAGGCTAAAAAACATGTTGAAGGTATGAGATGAAGGAAAGACTGGTTTCATCAAGAGGTTTTGGTTTATTTAATTATGACAAAGCACACTAGGGCTATCTGCCTAAGGAGGAGGGGGAGGACTTTCTAAGGGAAACTGGGTGGGACTTTTTAAGGGGCTACACACTTACACATGGGGAAAACCACGAAAACGCCCATGCAGCCAGTTCGCGGATTCGAACCTCGGACCTGAAACAACTACCAGTGTTCAGCGACTTTACCGCTCGGCCGCTGTTTCATCAGGAGGAAAAAAAAAAAAACCCTTTAGGTGACATCCACATACATCACTGGATAAACTCCTGAATCTTCAAATAACTTCGACTGAGAAATCATGGAATTCTCCATTTATGATACGATATGATGTTCTATAACGTAATTTAAATTTATACAACCATATAGTCAAAAACCAGTCGCTCTTCACTTTAATCTGCAATGATATGGTTTTTGTCTTTTCTGTTAAGCACAAGCTCAATTGATGGTATTTGCTGGTGTACATGTCCAAGTAAGTGTTTTCTCTTTGAACACCTAAATTCCTTGAAGTATCCTGAAAAGTATATTCAAAAGCGTCCAACTTTTTGAAACATCTTGGTATGTCTGACAGCCAAATTTCCCTGCAAATTTTTGCTTACTTTTCTCCCTAATTTCTTCTTTCCTTCTACAGTTATTTTCAGTGCTCACACAAGAAAATTAAGATTTTTCGATTGCTAGACTTCCATAAATTTTTGCATTCTTGTCAATTTTTTAAAATATCAATTACATGAATTGCGTTTCAGCTGAAGACAGCTTTTCATTTTCTAGTCATTTTAACTATAAATAAAGTTTAAAGCGAAGTCCAAAGGATAAATATTTTAATTAAAAGATTTTTGCTAAATGACAAAGAAAAATAAAACAGTCCAGCAGGGTTTATTCTGTACCACCGAGTGACCCGATTCTTATATCGGCTGATGATGAAACAATCTAAATCATATTAAAGATCATGTTTTTTTATACAATCTATAATGCAAGAGAAAAATTAGCTTCTTAAAACATTCTTTCTAAGAGGATTAATATAAAAGATATATATATATTGTTTTAAAGCTGGGACTTGAACCAAACTGTCAAACTTTTAAAGTTTAATTTACATGGTGGGTTATAATTAAAGTTCCAATTTGAAATGGTCATAAAAGGAAAACTACCGGACCAAATGTTATCAAACTTGGGAATCGTGTAAAGGAGGTTGTTGGAATTTATTTACAGCGGAGAAAAAAAGAGTTCAAAAACTGACCACCAGGGGGGAAATGGCACTGTATACAATATTGTTAAATGAAAATAGACACGAAAACATCTGTTTAAAATGTGTTTAATAGTTTCCGAAACGTGTTACAAAGCATGTTCAATGTAGCGTCTAGTATTTTCCGAAAGCAAGTTAAATCCTATTACTGCATTCTCAACAGCAGCTCTTAGCAAATCAGGAGGAATGTTAGGACATGTCAGTGTATCACATTTTTCATTTCTGCCAAATTGTTTAGATTATCACCATAAACAGTGCTTTTGAGATAAACCCATAGCCAAACGTCACAGAGGTTGAGGTCTGGTGGAAGAGGGAAAGTGTTGGCCTATAAGACGTTCATTTGTGAAATGTTGCCTAAGTAACTGTGCGACACACGTGAGGTGGGGCCCAGCCCTGCATAAAAATCGTATCTAAAATGCCACGTTACTGCAGTTCATGTATCACGAAACATTTTAACATTGACTCTAAGTGAGCTGCAATCACAGTGGTGCAGCTGTCGACTGCTCTTCAGAGGAAAATGGTTCAGTTATAAAACTAGCTGTCATTCAACACTAAGCGGTGTGGAATGACTGCTATGCAATCGAATGCAGTAGGAGAATGCAATGGAACTAGATAGATAACATGAAGGATTTCTTTGGCCCAAATCGATTAAAAGCGTTTTGAATCAGTATCTTCATGTTTTAGTGCCGAATTCAGGCTTCAAAAATTACAAATTAGCGATCT